AACCAAGACATACAATTACAACTCATTATTAAATTTTTTGTCTTTCTAAACCAAGCTATTGAGTCCCAGACACCAATGATATTTCACGTATACACATAGCTAGACACGTGAAAAAATAGTCATAACCATTTTTTTATAGAACTCTAGAGTCAAATGGGTTATGGAAGATGACAATAATTCCAAATTTTTTCATAGCGTGGCCAATGGAAATTGGTTAAGGAACCATAGAGAAACTTGAAAAAGATTATGGGATGATTATTGAGGATGAGGAGTTGATTGAAAAAAAGAAGGATTGATTTTTTTTTTTTTGGCCAATTTATTCATTGCTAATGATAGATGTAGACCTTCTTTGAATGAGCTCGGTTGGCATCCATATAAATGGAGGGGTAGCTAGGTGGTTGGAGAGGCCTTTTGAGATTGAAGAAACTAAGAAGTTGTTTTTGAGTGCAGTAGAGACAAAGCTCCAAGTCCACATGGTTTTACAATGGCAATTTATGAGGTGTTGGGATGAAATAAAGGAAGACTTGATGAAGGTTTTTGAAGAATTTTCATAATGGGGTGGTTAGTGCAATTACTAATGCTACATATATTTTTTTGATTCCGAAGAAAGATAATTCATTGAAGTTGAAGGATTTTAGGCTACAACTTTAGTAACTAGTTTGTATAAAATCATAGCCAAAGTTCTTTCAATTAGGTAGAGAGGCTTTTGAGAGCCGGATCTAGATCTAAGTTGAAGATTATAGAGTTCGAGGGGAGGAAGGAATTGTGTTGAAAATTGATTTTGAAAAAGCCTATGACCATGTGGTTTGGAGTTTTTTTGGATTTTGTATTGGAGGCTAAAGGTTTTGGTGATAAATGGAGGACATGGATTAAGGGGTGTTTGGAATCAATGAACTTCTTTGTTATGTTAAATGCAAGACCTAGGGGGAAAGTTTAGAGCATACTGGGAGATTAGACAATGTGATCCATGATCTCCTTTCTTATTCACTCTAGTGGTTGACGAGTTAAGTAGGTTAATAGAAAGAGCATGGAGATGTAATTGGTGGAAGGTTATGTGATAGGTAGGGAAGGAATCTATGTGTCTTATTTGCAATTTGCAATGGCACAATTTTCTTTTCCTCAAGGAACGTGGAGAAATTTAGGAATTTAGAGAAGATAGATAATGTGTTTGGGATGATTTCTAGTCTAAATATAAACAAGGAAAAAAATCAAGTTATGGGGTTAATTATAGTCAAGAAAAGATTGACAGATTGGCTTAGGAATTAGAATGTATTATGGGTGAGTGGCCGCTAAGATATTTAGGTTTCTCTTTAGATGGTAATCCAATGTTAACACATTTTGGGACCCTGTAATTAGAGAGTTGGGAAAAGCTTAGATGGGTTCAAAAAACATTTATTTCTAAGGGAGGTAGGTTAATGTTAGTGTAGTCTGTGTTGGTTAGTGTACCCATTTATTTTTTGTCTCTCTTTAAAATGTCTTTCTTGGTGGCAAAGAGATTGAGGGGATGACAAGAGTTTTTTTATGGAAATGAAGGGAGGAAGAGGAAAATGATCATTTGATTAGATGGGAGGTTGTGTCTAGGCCTAAGATTAGGGATGGTTCATTGGCTGAAAATTTGCTAAAAAGAATGTGGTTTTAGTTGAAAAATGAGATTTCCTTTGGAGCAAGATTCATTGTGGCACACGGTTATTAGAAGCAAATATGGATTACAGACTAATGGGTGGAATGGCAAGGGGCTGAAAGGGACACTTTTCAGAGTCCATGGAAATTTATTCCTTGAGGGTTGTCTAGTTTCTCTGAGAAGATCAAGTTTATGGTGGAAAATGATTTGAAAGTGGGCTTCTGGAAGGATGTTTGGAGGGGGAGTATTCTTTTTCTACATTATCCCTCGCCTTTATCGTCTTTCTTGTCAACATGGTAAGTGTATTGCTTCTTTAGTGTCTTCGTATACATATCTAGTTTCTTGGGATTTTGAATTTCGTAGGAATCTCAATGATAGAGAGTATTCAAAATTTTTAAGGCTTCTTTCCATGCTTAATGATGTCTCATTATCTCCAAATACGTTATATAAAAGAGTTTGGATTAGTGATTCTCCAGGTATTTTCTCTTGCAAATCTTATTTTGGGTCTCTAATTGATTATTCTACACTTCCATTTTTTTATCCGTCTAAGGAGATTTAGAGGGCTAAAGTGCCTTTAAAGGTGCAAGTTTGTACATAGATAATTGCTCATGGTAAGATTAATATTAATGATGTGCTTCAAAGAAGGACACTTATGCATTGTCTTTCACCGAGTGATGTGTTATGTGCAACGGTGATGGTGAGACTGTGGACCATTTATTTTTGAATTGTCTCATTACATTTTCACTATGAAATAAATTGTTTTAGTATATTGGCATTTCTTGGGTGGCTCCAAATTCAATGACATCAATGATTAGTGTGGGTTCCAAGGGTTTGGGAGGAAGTCCAAAAGGTAGGATCCTTTGACAGAGTGCATTTTTTGCTCTTATTTAGGTGATATGGATGGAGAGGAATGCAAGGATTCTCAAAGATAAGATTGGAAGAAATTGAATGTTTATGGAACCGGTTATATTTCTTGGCTTCATTATGGACATCTACGGCCAAGGAAGTTGAGACTATTCCTCTTTTTAGAATCATGGCAAGTTGGACAACTTCTTGCGGTTTGAATTTCTTATTTTATTGTCTTTATATTTTTTGTTCTGATTGTTTTTTATTATGAAGGTTGGCATCCAATTGATGCACGACAACAATGCAAAATCAAAATTGGGATCGCGAATAGTACCCGTGAACAAGGATCAAAATTTCGTTTCAATGCATTGTTTCAATCACCTAGGCAACGGAAACGTCGCGACATGTTCTGAAACGTTTTGACCCATTTTGAAAATAGAATGAAAAAAAATAAAATTTAAGAATTATTTTTTTAAAATAATGATCAAAATATACCAAAATATCTTAAAATATCAAGAAACATTCCGAAATAATTGTACAAATGCATTAAAATATAACAAAACATTTCAAAATATTATAGAACACCTCGAAGTATTACAATTTCGATTTCATCACTGATTCGTTTCGGTCTCTTTGGAAACAGAGACGTTTTGGATGTTTCGATTGTTTTAAAACGATATTTTGATTCTTACTCGTGAATAATAATTATGTTGTGAACAATGATGTGAATAGGAAATTTGACTAGGAATCATTCCTACAATTCCTCAGGCATCACACCTAGGGTTAGAATTGTATCACACAAATCAAGAAACAAATAATTTCTGAAACATTTCTCCCGTAAATTAAAGTATTACAACTCTATATATAGACCTCTAAGTATCTCCTAATCTTAAAAGATTAGGATCCCTAAGAGGCTAAGATTATAGAACTCCAAACATTCTAAATCACTTAAAATTAGAAAACCAACATAAATTAGAAGTTTAGAACAATGACTCTAAATTCTAGAACATCCAACACTAGAATTTGACCAAAAAATGACCCACGGGTCAGACTATGACCCATTCAGAAAATCAAAAAATTACAAAAAATACCCTTGACTCTAAAAAATATTAAAAGGCCTTAAACTAACTCAAAATACAATAATGCAAGATTCCCTATGGATCTTTGTCTTATGACAAACCAATTTCATTATTTTTCACAATTTTGAATTTATGTTTTCTTGAGTATCTCATAGATTGGATCATTCTCCCCTAGTTGGAGAAAACTCGACCTCGAGTTTTGAAGTGTTGAGGTATGAAAATCCACAATCTTTTATCTTGCATATGCAATTGTCATTGAAATGTCTTTAGATGATGCCTCTTTTTATTCTTTAATTAAGGGAACAAAGAAAAGATTTGAAAATTGATCCCCTCAATTGTGTTGTTGGAGTTTTCTGTAATGATAAAATCAATTGGTAGAACAAAGTGAATAGAAAGATACATTGGTAACTCTTCATGCTCGTTTTCCTTGAAAGATGCAAACAAATAAAACTCTTGGGACATCGTTGTTGCTGGTTGAAAGTCATTAATGGGGAACAATTTCACCATGAAACTCTTTCAGCACTATTTTAGAGCTCTTAGATAGTAAGTTACTCATCTCTAAAGACAAATTTGATTCAATACTAGTTGCTGATTTTTCCATCTTGTTAGGATCCACAACAAAAAAATTATTTGGATATTCAATTTTTACCTTAGTCTCTGGAAAAATAAATAGCAGAGTTGTTTGGGATTGTGTTGGTTCTTCTACTTGATCTCTTCCACTTTGAATTATTGGATCCCTAGTTGCTTTGGGCTGCTTTTGATGAACCTTCTCTAGTTACACATTAAAATACAAATAACTTTTGAATTTAGCTCTTTGACGAGAAGAAACCCTTGGGGTGTTTGGGTAGTGAACCACTTATTTTTTGCATTGTCCCTTCACACTCTCACTATGGAATGACATCTATGCTTAATGTGGATTTTAGGGTTTTGAGAGGAGGTGAAAAGGGTAAGACCCTTTGGCAATGTGTTTTTTTTTTTTGCTCTTATTTGGGTAATTTGGAGAGAGAGAAATACAAGAATTTTCGAAGATAAGAGGGAAAAAAAGGAATGCTTATGGGATCAACTACATTTCTTGGCTCTGGGCAGCTGCGACTAAGGAGTTTGAGAACATGTCTCTTTTTAGTATTATTGCTAATTGGACAGCATCTTGTGGACTATATTATTGAATTTAGTGTCATAATGCTTTTCTTTTTTATGTGCCTTCCAAAGGCGCTTTTCTTGGGTTGGACTACTTGTCCAACTATGATTTATTGTTTGTAACTTCCAACTTTTATCATTAATAAAAGTGTAATTACTTATAAAAAAAAAAGTAAAACGGAAAAGGGGGGAACCACTAGTCCAACCAAACATACTCAAACTATAAAGGAGCAATATATATAAACCCTCAAAAAAACCACAAATTAAACCATAGGAAACGATCAGTGCCAACACAATCTGAACCCAAGCAGTGAGCACTACAACAAAGAAATTCGTGAACTCACCTTACCACTAACACATACAATATCTCCTTCTTTATACTTCTCCTGAAGACTTCTGAGAAAAGGTTGAAAAGTGAAACGAGTACCTCGAAAAAATTTCTTTAAATGTAAGTATATCATTCTCTTGCTTCCACTATCAATTTCATCCACCATGTGCCCAGAAGTTGATTCAATGTCTACAACCTCACAACCCACAACCACCTCAAGAAATGAGAAGGAATAACTAGCCTTAATTCCCCTGCAAGAAAAGCTCACGTCTTATGAATATCAAAACAAAAAAAAAAAAAACTTATTGTGAAGGTTTCTTCACTGCACTGTGATATAAAATAATGAAGTAAATGAATACTGTGTACAAAACTTAACGCCCTCTTTTTCATTTTAGGGATTTCCCAAAAAATATGCCCACTTGCTAAATTGAACAAAAAAATAAAATGGGTGGATGTATCAATGAATGGAACTGAAGAGATTTAACAAGTTGTACCATTTGTTGGATATTCTAAAAGCTGATGTTGATGTAATGCTAAATATACACTATCAACTTACACTGTGGCATATCAAGCACAAACAATATAATATGCATATAAAATACAAGTTCTATATCACCTTGATAAGTAAACTAGCATGACTTGTATGCTAGTTCTCAGAGAAACTTGTCACTTTGTTGCATGATTAGGTCTTAATTTTTTAACTAGCCATTGTTTGAGGAAAAGGGTTACTACTACTTGTCATCCCACTTGTAATTGTTGTAGACAAAATAAATCTTGTACATTTGGCATTTATTATGACTAGATGCATTATTTAGCAAGTTCTGCATGACCCATTAGCAATCTGATATACCCCTTAATTTGGATAGGTTCACAAAAAAGCTTATTAGAAAAAACATATGTTCATAGAAGACCTACCACTGCACCACTTTGAAAGAGTAATGGGATATCTATTGACAGTAATGATAGTAGTAGAAGTACACCAAAATTCGTGTTGAATGACGTTATATTGACATATGATATGTGACCCTTGATATAGCACAATGGTAGAACAAGATTCATATGGTCGACTCAAACAGTTTGCTGAACAAATACTAAAGTTAATTTAGAAGGGAAGGGAAAAAATAGGAAATTGGACCAGTGGTTTAAAACACCACTATCCAAGCCATATCATCCTCAATCAACAAGAATCCTCTTATGTTAAAACCAAGTTAAATATGTCATCTGAAGAAACAATGCATCCTAGATAACCGCCAGGAAAGGTTAATGTCCCACCATAAAGGTGTTAGAAGTCAATCCACTTGTAGATCCAGCCTAAAATCAAATAAATATGAACATTTCTGGTTTAAATCTGATTCACCTGGAGGATAAGATCTTCCCAACAAAAATGAGGTACTGCCCATCCTCAATTCCAACCTGTGCATTTTGTAGATCAGCATAGGTCCGAGGAAAATGATGCAGCAATCTCCGCAACTATATGAAAACAAAAATAAAAGTGATCCCAGCCTTCATTAGATTGTTAAAAGCCAAAATGAAAAATTGTGTATCTTCATATGATCTTTAAAGAGCCCACCGTGTGGAAGCCACAGCTTTCCAGCTGACGGCACTGTCTCTTACTCAATCCAGGTATCGAACTGATACTTTTATCAAGAATCAGTTCAACTGATACAGCACTTTGTTGGGTTCCAAGCCCAGATCTGGAGGAAGGTTCATCCATAGTGGTTTGTAAATCTTGTTCCACTTGTTTCTTCATAGTTTGGGACTGAGTGAACATAGAAGTGGCAAAATTTTCTTCTCTTTGTGAAGAGTCCACATCTGGCAGTTTCGGATATAAGGAAGGCCATGCTTGAGTGAGACAATCTGGATCCCACATCGAGGTGATAGGACTAGGGAAAAATCTTTTACAAGTCTGAGCTGCCAAAAGCCCACTATTTCCAGAGGAACATGTCATCTCATCATACAATTCCACCACTGGAGCATGACCCAAAGTGATGCAAGGGAACCGTTCACATGGCAAGGAAACATCAAAATCATCAATTGCAACTTTATGATTCTTGCCGAAGTCCTTGTTAGCTCTTTCATTCTCAATTAACTTATCTGGATCACTGTAACCCATCCATACAGATACCTATAGCAAAATGATAAGTTTCTTATCAAATAAAAATTGGTGTCCAAAATGCACACGAATAAATTATAAACTAAAGCCAAGAATCACTTTATTCCTTCTCCGAATATGAATTCAAATGCCTCAATCACAAACTAAAATGTACACAATTGGAATACAAAGCAGATAAAATTATTATGAAACTTCTATCAAAGAATAACTAGAATGAGCATGTCAGCATGCAGTTCCACTGGCATGCCTTCAAATTTATGTTCCCTCTTTTAGATTTGCTGCAATGATGCTAGCACAATATGTAACATCCCTGGATATATTAAAATCAGAGATACAATTGAGGATGAAACACTCAAGATTTTATGAGACCGGGAGAGTTCAAATAAATAAATATACCACAAAAATGAATTCCTTGTACGAAGACGAGTCCAACGACTATAGCATTGGATATGTTTTGTGTCGGAAAATAAATACCATGCTACACACCTGAAGTATCCAAGATGTCCATATGAGTGTACTGATACATCTATCACAAGTATCGAAAAAAGTGTAGTCATACATATGTATCAAGAGTCTGTTTTAGTGTGTCATATGACGCTTGTCGAAAATGCTAGGGACACGTGACAAGCACGACAAAGTAGGGGAAGAATAATGAGGTGACATGTGGCAAGCACGTCAATGCAGTGGAAGGACTTAGAGATGACACGTGGCAAGTGGCAAACATAACAAAGTAATGGAAGGACATGGAGGTGACACGTGTCAACACGACAAAGTAGTGTTTAAGGTGTAAAAGAAGGCTATAAATGGAAAGGTTGGCCTAAGTGAAGGGTGAGAAAGAGGGAATAGGGATCAAAGTATCAGCCGAGTCCGATACGACTCGGCCTAGTCATATGTACCAAACCGATAACAATACATGATGTGCCAAATCAGCAAGTCTCACCCGAATCAGCACAAAATCAGAGACAACTCGGTTGAATCGATGTGACTCGGACGACTACGACAAACTCGTAATTGAGTCAAACCGAGTCGCTAAGAATCGCAAAAATCAGTTAGAATCCATGAAGAAGAAGAATAAAGTGAAGACCTACGAATTGAAGCCACTGAATGGTTTTTTGTCTCCCTCTTCTTCTCCACTTTTCTGCTTCTACGGTGCGAATATCAATTTTGACTCATTGAGGAGTGGGCTTGGCACTCAAAATTACTTTGTTGTGCCGCTTACTATCTTCGATCATGTTTTTTCATTAATTTCCCTAGCGTCTCTCTATCTCTCCCTCTCACACACAGGTACTTCCTCTATGTGAAACCAGAGGGTCAATGTAATCGGGCAGTTTAACAAAAAAATAAAACGTTAAGGGCTTCATTGAAAAGGGTTTCCATCTTATAAGTCACATTATTTTATTCAATTAAATGTTCTAATTATAGATTGTAAATTTTATTTTGTATTTTTTGGGGGGTATCGATCACGTTAATGTTGCCTAATTCGTTTAGTAATTAACACTTAGGGGATGGTTGGTAATACCACTTAAGACTTAACACTGAATATTTTAAGCACTTAATGAATTAAACTCATTTAATAACCTAAAACTCATGTCACTTAGTATTTTAACCATTTCTTAAAAATAGGCTAAAATTTTGAATAGCAAGTCATCTAGTTATCACTTTTAAGGATTTTATCAATTCCTTATAATAAACAAATATACCATCAATGTATTTTACACTCTTAACTTTTCAATACCCACCATTCAGTACCACCACCATTGTGCTGCTACTGCCACCACCACTGCCACCAACACTACCACGGCCACAACCACCATTGTATCATTGTCACTACCACTATCACTGTCGTCGCCGCCGCCGCCGCCACTACCACGACCACCACCACCACCATTGTGTCGCTGCCACCACTGCCACTATTCCATCACTGCCATTGTGTCGCCGCCACCACCACTAACATTGTGCCACCGTCACCACCATTGTATCACCGTCACCATTCTTTCATTACTCTAACTATTTCTCCTCTTTTTACAATGACACACGGAGTTACCAAAATCATCATTCTCTTATCTAGATATGAATTGATATATTTAATTAATTATCCAAATTTGAATATACTATTATATTTTAAGAATTTAGATTTGGATATACCAAAAAATTTGACATAATTGTGAATCGTAAACAATTCACAAAAACACATACACACACGGATGTGTATGTAAGATTTAGTTTTTGATCAAATTTTTAATATTTAATGGATATGGATATTGATATGAACTGTAAAGACGAAATTTGGTCAAATCATATTCAAAAATCAAAAATGAAGTTTTTGAATCGAACTTGGATTCGAATCGCTAGATTTTTTATAATGGACATGTCTATTTATAGTTAGTTTATAGAATGATTTGCAAAATAACATTTTCAATGAAAATTATTCTAATACTAGTACTTTCTGTAAAAACAACTATAAAATAAATTTCATATAATTTTTCTTAATTATATTTTATTTTTTTATATTTTTTCGGAATATATATTTTATTTTCTTATGTATAAGTTATGCGTGAAAAAATTTTAAAGGAGCAAAACAAAAAATTACCATGAAGAATTACTTTATAAATAGTATAAATGTCAATACACTCATATTTGCAAGACACAACAATTTTTTATGATTGCTCTACAATCGTTTTCCTCAACTTGATGATTGCCTCCACTAATAATGAACTTTGGCTTCGCCCCTGACCGCCACCATTACCATTATGCCACCATCATTACCATTGTGCTACCGCCACCGCCACCGCCACCGCCACTGTCACTACCACTGCCACCACCACCACCGCCACCGCCACCACAACCACTATCATCGCCGCCACCACCACCACTGCCATCGCTGCCACCACCATTGTCCCACCATCACCACTACCATTGTGTCACCACCACCACTACCACCACCATCGTCGTTGTCACCACCACCATCGTGATGGCGATGGTAAGAATAAGGTAGGTGCAAAGTGATGGTTAAAAAGAATGACAAACTTAGAATATAATAATTTTTAGACTTCGGTTTCTTATATTTATCAAATAGTTTAATTCAATTCAATACTTAAATTTTAGCTGATACCAAATAACCTGCAAATTAAAAAATTCAGCATTCAGTTTTCAATATTCAACTTTCAGTCTTATCAAACACCACCTTAATTGACCTATTTTATTAATTGATATATCTTACTCTAGGAAGTACGGATATTCTTCGGGGGGCCAACGTGGCGGTGTTAGACACATGTCCAACACGAATATGCGTGGGACACGGCCGGACATGTGTCCGACACTTCCACAAGTGTCCTAAACAGTGAAGAAGCATTTGTTGTGGACGGATACAACTTGGATACGGGGGTGATATAGCAAGATACGGCCCACAACCATGAATCTATGTTCAAATCAGGAAAAAAAAAAGGGGCGAAGAAGACAATACCTGATCAGCCACTACCACTGCCACAGCCACAGATCACCTCTTCTTCGAACAGGTATGTCGTCTTCAGATCTCCTCTTCAACCACACTCTCTCTCTCTCACTTGAGATCTCTGCCATGTTTATCGCTCCTCTGCGATTTCTTCGCGGCTGCAACGTGCCCCTAGTTGCTAAAAGCAACAAAGTCACATTTTTTTTTCTTTTTTTTTTCCCTTTTTCAACAAGGGTTTTTCCTAATTACTTTTCAGCCCCTGTTACTTTCTTTTCCTTATTTCTTTGCCCTAATTGCTAAATTACAATTTACAAGTAACCCTTAGACTTCTTATATTTTATGTTAAATTACAATCATACCTTATTAGTTGTCACCCATTACCCAATTTGGTTCAGCCCACTGCCCATAATATATTAACCCACTAATCAAATTTAATACTAGTTCATTTTCTCCAATTTTAAAATATTAATTAATTACTTAATTTTATTATTAATATTATTATATATATAAATATATTATATTATTTTAATCAATTGTATCCTCATCGTACCTGTATCCTATATTTTAGAATTTTATAATATCCCCATATCCGTGTCGTATCGAATACAACACTCGTGTCCGTATCCGTGCTTTCTAGATCTTACTAATTAATAGTGTTACTTCAAATCAAAGTTGTTAGTATCGTACGATACGCGATACGTATCGTACGATACGTTACGATACAGCCCTAAAACGATACGGATCGTAGTTATGTATCGTTTTTGCGTTGTATCGTCCGATACACGATACGTTTTTACGATACGATACGCACGATACGTGCAATTTTTTTTTTTTTTTTTTTTTTAAAAAACGACGTCGTTTTGTGCTCTGATTTTTTTTAAAAAAAAACGACAAGTGAAGACTTGTTGGCATCCGATCACAATGATGATGATGATGATGCATTTTCAATTGAAATTGAAGATTGAGTTCAAAATGGATGTTAGAAATTTGGATTAGAAGTCTCTTTGGTGTTTAAAGTTTGAATTAGTGAACTATGGTTGTGAACTTTGCATTATAATAGTAGTGGATTATGTTGATAACTTGAATAGTTGGTGGAGTATTAATGAAATGCTATATTTTTTATGAGTGTATGACTTTTTTTCAAAGGTATATATATTTTTTTATTATTTATTTAAAATTGCATCGTATCTTACGATACACGATACGATACACGATACGATACAATATTTGTATCTTACGATACGCCTTCCGATACACGATTTGATAACTATGCTTCAAATTAATGTTAAAAAATTCAATTTGAGAACCTTATTTATTATTTTTATTGGATTGGTAGTAGACGAACACAAATTAGAATAAATGGTTATTTTTGTTATTAGAACCACAAATTAAATCCCAAATTGAGTCAAACTAATATTATTATTCATAGCCATATATATCCGGTGGTCCCCATTTATCCCATTTTCACTATGTTAACATGTATAGATAATGTATTTTAAACAAATGATGCAAGATTTTAGATTTTTAAAAGTTTTTCATAATTTTTTTAAAATTTTGTGGGCATTCTAATTAGCGCGTATTGGCCGATACCATGCGATCGATGTGTCTCAATACACTTCGAGTTAACAGCTGATACCGCAACCTTGAACCATAAGAGGGAGACAGCCATGAGTTAACATGATAATCAAATCGCAAAGTTAGGTTTTTGTTGGTCGAGGTATTTTGAGCTACAAATATACCAAGTGATTCAATGTATTGTTTCGGTTACCTAGGAAACGAAAACGTTTCAACATGTTTTGGAAATGTTTCGAACCGTTTCAAAAATATAATGAAAAAAATAAAAAATTTAAGAATTATTTTTTCAAAATATTGGTCAAAATATATCAAAATATATTGAAATATCTTGAAACATTCTGAAATAATTTTGCAAATGTATTAAAATATAATAAAACATTTCAAAATATTATGGAATACCTCAAAATATTAGAATTTTGATTTCATCACTGATTCGTTTCGGTCTTCTTGAAAACGGAAACATTTTAGATGTTTCAATTGTTTCGAAATGATATTTTGATCCTTGAGTAGTGGATTATTCATGATATGCTCCTATTATTCTTCATAAAGTGTATTTCTTGTTTGTTGTTCCAATCTATGTTACAATTGATCGATTTCTATCATTTGAAAATTTGATTGAGTTATATGCATATACGATATAATTGATGGACTTGTTATCATTATGATATTCCAATTGAGACCCTCCGCTGAATGAGTCCGAGTGGATGGACTCAAATCTGGTATAAGTCCGAGCCAGCAACCCAAATTTGGTATCGATCCGAATCGGCAAAATCAAATATGTGAAGCTCAAAGCAATTGATGACCTATTTGATGTTTATGTCATCCTTTTCAGTAATTGATACTCGATTATTTGCACTCTTGTCATATTGTGAATTTATTCTGCTTACTAGGCTTACTAACTCGTGTCTCCATTATCCTCTCTCAGTTGTAGGTTAAAGTGAAGTACTGAATTGATTAATAAGTCATGAAGCTTTGGAAAATGCAACCAATGAATAGGTAGTTAATTGAGATGTACGATTAAGTATTGGGTCAATTTATTTAATTTTTACTTACAAAAGTTGATTTATTAAATTATTTATTTTTGACAATTTGACTTGTTTAATTGAAGGTGTTTAGTGCTTTGATTGGTACAAAATGGGATCGGGACGTTACAATTTTGGTATCAGAGCCTAACCTTCAGATATTACATGGGTACTATGAGTTGGCTAAATTTCTATTGGTAAATGTATAAGTTAAATATGGTACCAGACAATAAGTAAAGAGATTTCTTCAACTTCCCTTTCCAGGAACACTGCCCTAAAAAACCAGTGTAAATACTCCATGAGCAACAAATATGAGTAGAGTAAACTTGACTTTGACTTTGCGGAGTTTTGTCAAAACATATGGTGACCCCTAGACAATAAATGACACTACGACCCTTTACTTTTGAAAAATTATAACAGATGGACCCCTCCATTACCAAAAAATAAAGTCAGCAAAAAAAGTCTAAAATACCGACATTGCCCCCTTATTTCTCATTGAAATAAAACGATTTTGTTCTAAACTTTGTCCTTATAATAGCAAAATTAATCTCTATTGGAAGGCAAGCATCTTTATCCAAACACCAACCATCGTCATCTCCCCCTCCCACTGCCCCTTTGAGTAAGTATACGATTTACCCATTAATTACAATTATATATTGATAACTAATTTTAACAATCAATTAGACAATATAGAAAACTGTAACACAATTTATCCCGTAATTACCACATATTATTTAGGAAGTAATTGATTATCCAATTACACAATTCTTCGCTGCCATACCAATGCCACCCCACCATCTCTAGATTTAGCCCACCACCACCACCACCTCCACCCACCACTAAAACCCTCAATACTACACCACCTCCATCTCCAACTCAACCGCTCAACAGTACCTCCAGTGAACAAAATAGTGCCGTCCAAACACTAAAGCCCATCTCCACCGTCCACCCGAACCCAAATTAGGACCCTACCAATCAACCACCAGTCCACCACCATCAAGAGCAAACCTCCACTCACCAACCGAACCCAAGCTAGGGTCTCACCTCTACAACCAACACCAGTAATGAACCTCTTGCCACCACCCAATCAACACAAATCAATACTCAATCAATCCATTTCAACACCAATGGAACAACATTTAATGAATTGAAATTAGAGTTTTGAAGAGAGAAAATACATGGTGGTGGGCCAAAAATGGCAATGTGCACATTTGTTCTTGTTATTTGCACTTGTTCGTGTCTAGGGCATGCAAACAAAGGGGGGGGCATGGAAGGGAAAGGAAGGGTTTTGCTCAAGAAGGAGGCGTAACAGATGCGATAGGGAAGGGGACAAACGATGGGTCATCGGCAGGAAGTTTCCATCAAAAGGTAGATTGGACAACCCTCGGGAGTGTGGATGGTCGCCTGGAGCTACTAGGATCTCCCTATTTTCATAATCAATTTTTACCATGGGTAATCAATTTTGACTATGGATAATTACAAATTTTGAAGAATGGTACTTAAATCATTTCCAATGTTACCTAGAATGTGGTTTTATTTAGTACATAGTACGGGGTACAGTACATCTTCCGATACGCGGTGTGATGAGGGTAAGCATCATTCGTACACCGTTTTGGGTGGTGATTCATTTCTTATAGGATCATTTTCTCAATTATGTAAGATTATATATAATTATACATTCATCTACACATAGTTAACTAATATTTATTTTGGGGTATGAGTTACAATTTGGGTCGAGAATTTAAGCAATCTAGATTGCAAACCCAACTAATATCTATGGTGGGGTTCCTTGAGATAAAGATGTCAAGGCGGTCTGGAATTGGCTGAGGAAGAGGAAGAACCTGAACGTTGTGGTCATTTCCCAATTGAAATCTCCAATTGGGATACTTTTATCATTTTGTCAATGTTACTGGATAATTGTGTTGGTTTCAAGAAACTTAGGGGATCCCAATGCAATTACTCATCTGAAGGATTATGGGATCAAATGTATTTTTGGCTTCTTTTTAGGCCTCAATTTCTAAGGAGTTCAAAAACATGCCTCTTTTTTGCATAATTACGAGTTGGAAAACATCATGCGGAGTAGTTTGTTGGTTGCGGCAGTGTTTTGTATAATTTGATTTGATTTATCAACAGTTGGACGTCTTTTCCACATCTGATACATCCAACTCTTGGCTCATTGTAATGTTTCTTTACTCGTTGTCAAGGATCAAAATTTCGTTTCGAAGTACCGTTTCGGTCAACTCAAAAATAGAAACGTTTCGGAAACATTTCGGAAACGCAATGGAAACGCAGAAAAAATATGGAAACGCATAGAAACACAAATGCAATCCATTAATTTATAAAGATATGCTAAATAATTTATTAATTCAGCATATTTATTAGGTTAACATCAATTTATACAAGAATAAATTTAAATTTGAGGGAAAAAAAGGCTTGACTTGAGGCGAAAGTCACTTAAATTAGTTTCAAACACTTAATTTTTATGAAATAAACACATTTTTACATAATATTAAGGTCTTATAATACACATGAAATGCTAATGAGTACATACTTACATGGTTACATCCATTCCCCTGTGGAGTGTCGAGCAGGCTCATACATCGGTGTAGGCTCTGGGTAGCTACTTAGAGAAACTCCATATGTGACATAAATATGATGACAATAGTTACTCCAAATCATATTATTACGGTAATATAATCCAATTAATAATACTATTTTATTATAATACTAATAATTAAGGGTATCAAATTAAATTAATGATACTTATGTATACTTAAAAATTAAATGTAATTGCAGTGGGTATTAAATGTAATTACAGTAGGTATTAAATATAATTACATTAGGGTATTAAATGTAATTGTTAATACTTATAACAAAAAAAAAAAGCAAAAAACTTGCACAGCAGTGAGGTATTAAATATAATTACAGTATGTATTAAATATAATTATAATGAGTATTAAATATAATTATAGTAGGGTATTAAGTGTAATTATTTATTCTTATAACAAAAAAATTATAAAAGACAGAAGAGCAGTGGGAATTAAATGTAATTATAGTGGGATATTAAATATAATTATAGTGAGTATTAAATGTAATTACAGTGGGTATTAAATGTAATTATAATGGGTATTAAATGTAATTATTCATAATGAACCGAATATATCACTGTTTTGTCGAAATGGTTCGAAACAATGTCGTTTCGACCGAAACGGTCCGAAACAGTACCGTTTCGACTGAAACACTGGAATTTTGTGATTCAACTACTGTTTCGTTTCGGAGTGTTGAAATTCCGAAACGTTTCGGACGTGTCGACACGACATTTTGATCCTTGCTCGTTGTTAATGAAAATTGTTTCTTATCAAAAAAACAACAATAACAAATCAAGCACAATCACACCGACAAGATTCAAAAATGGTGGGAAGACAGACCTTAGTCTACTTGATCCAGACAGCACAAAACTCATAACAAAAGCAAACAAATCGAAAAAATTCTTGATTGATTAATTGCTTGTAAAGTGAATCGACACCAAACCAAAAACAATGACCATTATAAGTAAACAAACATGAGTTAGCTCACCTTATTAAGCAACTTTGCTCGACCCAAATCACTTGCACTATCATATCCATCAACTTCCTGCAAGAGCTTTCCTACAAACTTATGCTTCGATCGAGAGCATAATTTTGAAGACTTAGAGTACAGAATACTAGTAAACCTGCATAAATAGGAAATATTCACATAATGCTCATTTTATCACAATGGTTTGTACCAAGGATCAAAATTTTGTTTCGGTCATCTAAAAAATGAAAATGTCTCGACATGTTTTGTAAACATAATGAAATAAATAAATAATTCAAAAATTATTTTTTCAAAGCATTGATTGAAATATATCAAAATATCTTAAAATACCTTAAAATATTCTGAAATAATTGTCCAAATGCATTGAAACATTACAAAACATTTCAAAACATTATGAAACACCTCGAAATATTAAAATTTCGATTCCATTAATGATTCGTTTCGGCACCTTGGAAACGGAAGCGTTTCAGGTGCTTCAATTGTTTCGAAACGAAATTTTGATCCTTGATTTGTACTAAAATTCACAAAAGTTCATAAGAAAATACCTCATTTTTCCACTCAAAACATTCCTATATTTTCTCCCAGCTTCTAAAGTTATCGTAACTCTCAAGCATGTCTCACTGAAATACTGCAAAGGATTATTTTTTCATTTTGGTTATCATCAAGCTCAGGTTAAGAATGAGAAAACTGCAGCAGAAGTCTCAAAGAGTGTAGACAAATATTCATTAAGGTTTACACAAAATATTTTACAATTTTTAAGAATATACCATACCGTAATTAACAACAATTGGGTGGGAAACACTTGTGTGAAGACATTGACTGACACTAATTAAGATAGCATATAAGCAAAGAAAAGTAACAGGATGAAACATATTTAACACGAGTTCAGTCAAGCATATTTAACATGATAAAAAAAAAAGCATGACTGATATAATGAAAGGGACCATAAGCGAGCATAAATTTCATACTTACTGGACTATATGATTGCACAATTGAGGTTGTCACTGCCATGAGCTGCAGGCTTACAGCATGAATGGGAGATGCCAAAACATGAAAGACATTAAACCTGCAAAACCCAATGTTATGACCATTTACACGGTGGAGCAAAAATGCACCAAAATATATAATTTTGACATTATCAAAGACATTGAGAAGTTTTACCATGCTTGGAATGCCAAATGAATGCAATTTTATATTATCCTTTTGGCACAAAAAGCTCAAGTAAAGGGAGTACTTATAATAAGACTCTGGCGCACAAGCTAATATGCTGGCATTCAACGTATTTGATGAACATACTGTGCACTAGTCATAACCCGTGCCTAAAATAACGTTAGCTTTTCTTCTCCTGTTTTAATTACATAATTTGAAATTAAAAAAAAATATTAACATGTGTACAATAACGCATATGAATAATGTCTGAAATAAAAATTGTACGCCACAAATTAATCAAAAAATGAAATGATTTAACTTGTAATAGAAATAGGTAATGTGATAAAAATATGCGATGTGATAAAAATGAGCGGGAAAAATATATGGTGATAAGATTCAAACTCCTACATCCCTTGTTATACAGATTTAGTAAGTGTAGACAATATTTGTACATGTTGTATTGTTAGAACTTCACCGAAACAAAGACATGAAAAAAAAAAAAGAGGAGAATCTTATTCCATCACATAAATTTGTGCAACAACATAACTTAAAATGCACAACGTAGGCTCTTATATAATAGGCAACACAGAATAAAATAAATGCCTAAACTACCTCTAATATTAATTTTCTAACACCATCTCCCAAACTAATGAGGTTGTGAAAAAATCAAGAGTTTGCCGAGAAGAAATCAAAAGTGTGCTACGGTGTGAAATTTTGTTTAAAAAAAAAAATACACTATCTGCATGGTGGAAGGAAGATAAGGAAGAATCACCATGCCTAGCCAAAGATGGTGGCATACAAAGTGACAATTAATCTCTATGTGTTTTATGCGCTCATGGAAGACCGAATTGTGAGCAATCTAAATAGCATTAGTATTGTCGTAGTACATAGAAGTAGGAGAAGATAGGGAAATGTCAAGATCAGCACGTAGCCATCGTAACCAGACTACTCAACTATGGTAGACGTTATAGCACGGCAGAAGAACAACCAACAACAATTTTTTTCTTATTTTTCCAAAAAAAAAAAATCTCCAATAAAAAAGGCAAAAACCAGTAGTGGACTTGTGATTCATAGTCTCACCAGCGCAGTCAGGATCGAGTAAACCCTAAATTCCACAGAGGAGTGAAAAAATAATAAACTCTGATGTAGAGTACCACAAAGATACAGAAGAATGCGAAGAACAGCAGCCCGTGAATAGTGCTAAGTGAGATGACAAACTGACTCACAATATGAATAGTATAAGAAATATCTAGTCAAGTAACCATAAGATATACTAGATTCTCAACAATAGTGAGGTAAAGAGTAGGATCCGGCAATGGAGTACCATCGGAGGAAGAATACCGAACATTGAACTCCTAAGGGTATCTTAACTGTCCAATTATTTGATAAACGAGCTCGCTAAATTACATCTAATGCATACTTTAATTTCAAAGTGATCTTACAATTGAGTTTTCAATATGCTGATACCAGCAATATCATCACTTATAATGATCATATCATCAACATAAAATAGGAGAACAATAAAACTAGAGAAAGTAGACCGTAAAAAGACAGCAGAGTCATGATCACTGGCATGGAAACCTAAGTCACATATAATTGAGGAGAACTTGACAAATCATGCCCTAGGAGCCTATTATCCAAGTGGAGGAATCATAAAAATCTCTTCATATAAGTCTCCATAAAGAAAACCATTTTTCACAGCAAACTGAGACAAGTGTTATTGACGAATAGCAATTTACAGCAATCACATTACAAATAATGGTCACCTTGGCAACGGGGGCAAAAAGTGTCATCATAGTGTAACCTATACTCATGAGCAACTTCATTGCCTACAAATCAAGCCTTGTATATTTCCACAGTAGCATTTAATTTAGTTTTGATCTTATAAACCCACTTACAGTCAATGGTGTGTTTAACAGGAGGTAAAAGAACTAATTCCCAAACTCGGGTCTTATGTAAGGAAGATAGCTCCTTATCCATAGTCTGTTGCTAAAAAGGATCAAGTATAGCCTTTTTATAGAAGATGAGTTCAGACAAATAATGAATAAAAGTGAAAACCACAAAAAGCAGAAGAATAACAAGAGTTGGAGAAACAAAACCTATTTGGACATTTTTGAGAACACTGAGAATAGCAAGAAGCATGATCCACAATGTAAGAAATCTGATTAAGTGACAGAAGTAGAAGTGGGAGGAACTGTATTCGTAAAAGAGACAACAGGAGTCCTGTAAACATAAATATACACAATAAGGGGATGAGTAACGGACAAATCCGGAGAAGAAAAAGATGACAAATCTGACACAAATATATCACTAACATATATATCCTAAAGAAAAAAAGAAAGAAAAAACTTATGCTTTTCTCAAGGAAACATCAGTAAAACGTGAATGAGATCAAATTTATACACAAATGAAGAACAAGAGGGAATCAAAAAGAAAGGAAATGTTTCATAAAGACAACATAGCGAAAGACTGAAAATTTGTGTGCAACAGGATCATAGCAACGATAACTTTTTTTCCCTCACCATGCCCAAGAACAACAAATAAAATTGAATGAGCAAAAAGTTTAGTACAAAAAACACTAGAAAACTAAGAAGCACGGATAAGGACAAGGGTGTCGTATCCGATACGATACGGATACGACGATATGGAAAAATCCCAAAATATAGGACACGAGTACGACGAGGATACGGCTAATTAAAATAATTATATATATAACAACAACATTAATAATAACAAACAACCAAGACATAACAAAAATTACTTAAATTGATATAGATCAAAGATTCAAAAAGATATATCCATAGTCACAAGTTTGCTAACAAAAGAACACAAAAACAAAAGGAATCCTAGTTAGGAAAGCAATTTTCAGTATTTAAAACCAACAGGCAGCAACACAGATGACCAAGACAAAAAAAAATCCCAAAGGCAGCCAGCAACAATGGACCAAACCAAAAAAAAAAAACCCAAAGGCAGCAAGTCAGCAACACAACAAGAAGACAAACGACCTAAGAGGAGTCCAGCACAATAACAACAAAAAATCCCCAAATTTTGAAAACCATAAAACCCTAACCCAATCAAATTAACCTAATCAAATTTTTTAAAAGTCCACCACACAGACCAGAAGAAGTAAGAGGAGCAGTAACAGATCTAGAAAAAAAAAATTAAAGCAACAAGAAGAACCTGCAAGAAACTGGGCAGCAATCGTAGGTCCAAATCCAGGTCGCGGTCGCAAGTTAGTCTTCCTTCCTCTTCCCTCTCCTTCTCCTCCGGTCCTCTCGAGCTCTCTCTCTGTGTTGAACACAGTGTGTCGATTTTGTCGAAGCTTCGTCTGCTTGATGCCTTTTGTTTTTCTTTTTCAAGCCAAACGACGTAGTTTGGCTTTTTTTTTTTCATTTCAGTCCCCCTAAGTTTTTTAAATAAAAAAATTACCCCCCGTCGTATCCCTGTCGTGTCCCTCCTGTGTCTTCCCGTATCCCCCCCGTGTCCTCCCGTATCCCCCGTGTATCCGAGCCGTATCCGACAAAGCCACTATTCAGAACACTTCTACAAGTGTCAGACCCGTGTCCGACCATCGAACACGCATATCTATGTCGGACAAGTGTCCGACACTACCACGGCGACCCTCCGACAAGAATCCGTGCTTCTTAATTAGGAAATAAGACAAAAGAAGTCCATCCAAACACACGTTAGGAGAAATAATTAGGTGACTTACCACATAATTTTTCAAAAAAAGATATTCCAGAGGTAATGATAGTGGGAATGCAATTACTCAAATGAACTGCAGCAAGAACTACTTTCCCCCAAAAAGAACTTGGGCATTCGTAGATAGCAAGAGAAAGTGTGTTGTCTCTAAAATATGTCAGTGTTTGCGTCTAATATACCATTTTGTTCGAGTGTGTCAGTACAAAAAAAATTGACAAACAATGTCATTAAATTTTAACAAATCACGAAAAGAATTAAAAAATATTCTCCTCATTGGTCAAATTGAAAACATTTAATAACAAAGGAATTGATGTAGGACGGAAGAATAAGAAGAAGAAATAAGAGAATAGAAAGAAAAAGAGAAGAATGCGAGGTTTACCTAATCATCGCAAAGAATTAGTCAAGAAATATACAAAATTCTCCACAGAGAAATAATTTTTATTATATCAGTCTCTCTAATAAAAACAGTGAAAACTACATCAATATTTATAGGTCAAGTCCCCTATCAAAATAAAACTATTCTCCTATTAAAATTCTGAAAGAGTTTCATAATCAAACTCTTAAACTCCTATACTACTAAAACTCTATAATAATTTTTTAATCAAATTCTAACTAATACTTCTAGTCAAACAAATACTCCTAAATCAAATAATAATAATAATAATAAAATTATCAATTACAGTTCCTTTTGGATCAAAAATTCATAGTCTTTCGTCTAGGCTTCCAAAGTTGATTATATTGGTCCAATCAACCAATAGCTACGCCATCAGAAATATTGACTATATATCATAGCACGAAATGCAGTAAATACAGAAAAGAATTCAAAACGATATTTCATTAAATAGACCCAACAATACCTACTATAATCATCAATGAAAGAAACACAATATCTACACCCTCCTTTAGTTAGAATAGGTGCAGGACATCAAGACCCCATATATCCAAATAAACCAGATCAAACGGTGTAAGAGAGTTAGGTAAGAGAGTTAGGTAATGCAGTAAATTTAGCTAACTTGAATCCACAACAACTAGAAATGTTATGACACTCTAAGTTACTCAAACTACCCGTAGAGGCTAAATATTTCAATCGAGAATGAGAAATATGACCAACACGAAAATGTCACAAATAAAAACTAAAAAAATTGACATAAATGAAAAGAAGACAAATCAACATTAGAAGCAGCAATATCCGGAATACGCAACTCGTTTAACACATAGAAAGTAGATTTTGTACAACACAACCAGAGTCAAATAGCTAACTAACTAAAATCAAAGACAAGGTAAGTTGTGGAATGTAATAAACACCAAGAAGT